TCGCGAAGGGCACGATGATCCGGGTTGTGTGAGCGGCGAGTGCGCTGATGACGACCCAAATGTTTGAAACTGACGTTACCAGTAACCCGAAAATCTGGCGGGATCCACCGTCATACGTACGGGAAGACGACCTGCCAGCGGGACGTGATAGCTGAAGATGGTAGCTGGCTTTGTTGAAGCATAGTTGCACTTAAAACATGTTGTATAATAATCTAGTTACTGCATTTTCCCTTAGTGAAGCTAGTTCTGTATGCTGTTCATACACGTGTGTTTAGCAACTATCGGACGAAGCAAGTCTCTGCCACAGAATTCTGGGCGTGTATCTTTTGGCCGGACCGACTGTCCGGACGGCGTGCGAAAACTTTCGTCAATGCTTGCATGCTCTCTAATTCGATAACGGGCTCAAACGGTCCGGACCGTGAGCTGGATACCCTATTCGCATGCCGTCCGTACCGCGTGGTCCGGGCAAAAGATACACGCCCTTATAGCAGTTTACCCATAGCTGTTTACCTAAAGCGGTTTATTGCGAATGTGCACAAACACATCTGTTCAATACAGTAGGTGGTCTACCCTGCACATGTCCCGGTTTTGTTGCACTCATCTGATGAACTGGGCTGTACCATTGAAAGGTGACATTCACCCGCAGCTTATTCGTGGTCGTGTAAAAACAAGGCCTACCATACCAGTAGTTTGCACTGCTGGATATTCCGTACGGCTTTTAAGGAATTGAAAGGGACGGTGTTGGAATTGAAAGGGGCCATCGTGGTATCTCTGGATGACACATTATGGTAATGCTCATATGCAAAAACAATTCAAGGAGCGAGTTGATAGACAATGTGGTTGAATGCCTTCAGGGATTGCAGGGAATGTTGAGGTGAGTGCCTGTGAGAGCATGCGCACAACCATGCGTGCATGTGAGAGCATACATGCTAGCATGCATGCAAACGCTGTGAACCCACATGAGAGTGTGTCAATGAGCGGGTGAGGGCGTGGGTGTGAGTGCATGTGAACGTGAGTGTGAATGCATGTGGAAACACGAGTGGGAACGTATGCAAGGGTTTGAGTGTGAATGCACGTGGGGATATGAGTTGGAACGTATGCAAGGGCATGAGTGTGAATGCATGCGCGAGTACGAGTGTATGTGATGGCACACCAACGAATCAGTTACCAGTGATCAGCCGAGCTGTGCTTGCAGTGCGCACACCCACGATCGCAGCAGTGGCGACCATGAGGCACAGGGGAAGGCAGAGAGCAGGCAGACAGCCACCTGAGAGGAACAAGGAGCAGGGGAGTTGACATATGGGAGGAACAAGGAGCAGGGGAGGTGAAAAGGGGAGAGAGGAGAAGAATAAGAGTACATCACGCATCCCTCACCACCCATGCCATTCAAACTGGTCTTAAAGTCACAAGAACCAACTCACCCCTCACACATACCATACAGGGTTCCGTGACTTGGCATCCCCCATCACACATGCACTCTTGGGGTTATGAGTAGACTCATCCCATCAGACGCGCTTCACGTTTTTAGTCCCATCAAACACTCAATCAGCCAAAGTTGCTGCCCTTCTAACCACCGCCGCTGCTGCTGCACATGTGCTCCTCGTTTCTCCACTCCCATTCCTCACCTCACCTGCCATGCCACGCGCCTAACAGCTCTCTCCTCGTGCCCCGCCAGGCACTTCACCGCCACTGCTGCCCTTCTCACACAACTGCTCTCTCTCTTAACCTGCCCATCCACGCCCCTTATCCCTCTCCCATTCATCCCCCTCCCATCCTTCCCCTCACCTGCCATGCCACGCGCCTAACAGCCCTCTCCTCGTGCCCCGCCAGGCACTTCAACACCACTGCTGCCACTCTCACCCGCACCCCCTCCTCCCCCTCCTCACCCCCCCTCCACCGGGCCAATGGGCTATTGACACGTGGCATGTAGGGGGAGGGTGGGAGAAGAGGAGTGTGTAGGGCCAGTGATAGGAGTGCGTGCGGTGGAGAGCGGGAGTGGGCGAAGGAGTGTGGGTGCAGCGGTGCATGGGCAGCTGGAGAGTCATCACGCTGTTGCTGCTGCTGCTGCCTCTTCCCCGCCACATCCTCGTCCGGCTCTGCTTGACTCATGTGCGCGTTTCCTCTCACTCCAGGCTGCTTGGTTTGGTGCGGGAGACGTGGGTGTGAAGAGCGGTGCAGATGGCGTGTGAGGCAGAGGGGCAGGGGTGGCGGTGGGGGGGCGGGGAGAGCGAGGGAGAGGAGGAGGGGGAGAGTGTGCAGGGCGAAGGGCGGAGAGACGTCGCAGAGGAAGGTGAGCGCGACGAGAGCTGCGTGGCGCTGCTGGGGTGGTGGGGGGGGGGGTAAGAGTGGGAACAGTGGAGAGAGGGGACGCTTATGCAGCGGCAGTGGTGGCAGAGCTTGTGGAGAGACGTCACAGACGACGGTGCGCGCGACGAGAGCGGCATGGCGCTGCTGGGGTGGTGGGTGGGGGGTGGGATGGGGAGGAGGGGAGGTTGTGGGAGGGAAGGGTGGGAGGGTTGTTGAGCATTAGAGCGAAGGAGGGGAGGAAGGTGAGAGCGAAGAGAGCTGCATGGCGCTGCTGGTGTGGTGGGGTGGGGGAAGAGGAACAGGAGGGAGGGACGGAGGGGAGGAAGGGAGAGACAAGAAGAAAGGAGGTGAAGAATGGAGATTGCGGATAAAGGGAGTGCAGACAACACAAAAGAATGTGGTCACCAAAGAGAGCTGCGTTGCGTTGAGCTTGGGGTGGGAAGACAGCTGCAGGGTTGAGACTGGAAGTGCAGCTGCATGGGGAGAGAGTGGCGCACTTCAGTCTGAATCTCTCAGCGGAAACGGGTCGTCAAGCCTGACGACCAGACGACCTTCTGCCCCGGGCAGAAAAAAACTAAAACCCCATCGGATGGCATGCCATCCGAGGGAGCCTCAACCCTAAATCCATGCCTCCCCGTGTTTAGGGTTGAGGCTCCCTGACCGGATGCATGCCCGTCTGGGGTTTATTTTTTTTGCCCGCGGGCAGCGAGCTCCCCCGGGCGGACTCGCTTGTCCGCTGAGATATTTTCGACCGAATCGTGCGGCTGTCTTGAGATGCGATTTGAGCAACGGAAAGACAGCTGCAAGGTTCAGAGTGAAGTGCAGCTGCAAGGTTCAGAGTGAAGTGCAGCTGGAAGGTTCAGAGTGAAGTGCAGCTGCAAGGTTCAGAGTGAAGTGCAGCTGCAAGGTTCAGAGTGAAGTGCAGCTGCAAGGTTCAGAGTGAAGTGCAGCTGCAAGGTTCAGAGTGAAGTGCAGCTGCAAGGTTCAGAGTGAAGTGCAGCTGCAAGGTTCAGAGTGAAGTGCAGCTGCAAGGTTCAGAGTGAAGTGCAGCTGCAAGGCTCAGAGTGAAGTGCAGCTGCAAGGTTCAGAGTGAAGTGCAGCTGCAAGGTTCAGAGTGAAGTGCAGCTGCAAGGTTCAGAGTGAAGTGCAGCTGCAAGGTTCAGAGTGAAGTGCAGCTGCAAGGTTCAGAGTGAAGTGCAGCTGCAAGGTTCAGAGTGAAGTGCAGCTGCAAGGTTCAGAGTGAAGTGCAGCTGCAAGGCTCAGAGTGAAGTGCAGCTGCAAGGTTCAGAGTGAAGTGCAGCTGCAAGGTTCAGAGTGAAGTGCAGCTGCAAGGCTCAGAGTGAAGTGCAGCTGCAAGGTTCAGAGTGAAGTGCAGCTGCAAGGCTCAGAGTGAAGTGCAGCTGCAAGGTTCAGAGTGAAGTGCAGCTGCAAGGTTCAGAGTGAAGTGCAGCTGCAAGGTTCAGAGTGAAGTGCAGCTGCAAGGTTCAGAGTGAAGTGCAACTGCAAGGTTCAGAGTGAAGTGCAGCTGCAAGGTTCAGAGTGAAGTGCAACTGCAAGGTTCAGAGTGAAGTGCAGCTGCAAGGTTCAGAGTGAAGTGCAGCTGCAAGGTTCAGAGTGAAGTGCAGCTGCAAGGTTCAGAGTGAAGTGCAGCTGCAAGGTTCAGAGTGAAGTGCAGCTGCAAGGTTCAGAGTGAAGTGCAGCTGCAAGGTTCAGAGTGAAGTGCAGCTGCAAGGTTCAGAGTGAAGTGCAGCTGCAAGGTTCAGAGTGAAGTGCAGCTGCAAGGTTCAGAGTGAAGTGCAGCTGCATGGTGATTGGGGTAAGATGGAAAGCATGGCAGAGGATGCGACTTGAGCAGCGAAGAGAGAGTGATGGAGCTAGGAGTTAAGGAGGGAAGCGTGGAGAAGAAAGGACCCGGTTGAGGGAGGGGTGAAACCGCGGAACAAGGGAGGGGAGGAGAGGCTGCTATTTAGGCAGCACAAAGTAGCGCAGGAGGAGGTGTGAGATGGGTGCGGCACGGCAAGTGAGGGGGGGGAATCGTGAGAGCACCATAAAGCGAAAAGCAAGCAAGTAATGACAGAAGAAACGCATGCACGCACACTCCACCCACACACCCCCTGCCTTCTCCCCCCTCCACTCACCCAACCACCCCCCTCCGTTCCCCCCCTTTCTCCACCAGATACACATGCACACATGCACACATGCACACATGCACACACGCACACACGCACACACACACACGCACACACGCACACACGCACACACGCACACACGCACACACGCACACACGCACACATGCACACACGCAAACACGAAAACACACAAACACGAAAACACACACACGCGCACACACGCACACACGCAAACACGAAAACACGCACACATGCACACACGCACACATGCACACATGCACACACGCACACACGCAAACACGAAAACGCGCAAACACGAAAACACACACACACGCACACACGCACACACGCAATCACGAAAACACGCACACACGCACACACGCACACACGCACACATGCACACACGCAAACACGAAACACGCAAACACGAAAACACGCACACACACACACACGCACACACACACACGCACGCAGACACACGCAAACACGCATACATGGGCACACATGCACACACGCATGGCATGCAAACCTAAACACACCGCCCACCTCACCTCCGACTCCCCCTTATCTCCCTCGTTTCTCCCCCTCCCCCTGATCCCCTCTCTCGCTCACCTCCTGCAGTCCCTCTGCTTCCATCGCTGCCTGCACCACCAGCTCCTGCACGGGTGCCACGTCAGCAGCCAGGGGAGCAAGGCAGCCAATCAAGCGCAGCGCGAGACAGCGGGATTCAACCGAATAAACAGCGCCAGCAGCACGTGATGATGGGGGCGAAGGAGAGTCACTTTGCATGTCTAGGGTTGTAGCTGTGCATGCTGTGTTAATGGCTGTGGCTGCTGTTGCTGCTGCTGTTGCTGCGGTGGGTGGGAGTGGGAATGAGGAGGAGCGAGAGAGCAGAGGGGCGATGCGGGTGATGACTTGGGTTGGGTTCAAGAGCTTCCCAGGAGTCAACACACCCGCCCAGTCCCTGGCACCATCAGAAGCACCATCACTGCCCGCACTATCATCACCATCACCATCACCATCACCATCACCATCACCATCATTCTCACTGCAATCACCACTGTCACCACTGCTGCTAGCACCGTTACTTCCTTCAATGTCAGCACCACCACTCCCTCTCTCTCCTTCCCTCGTGAACACTCCGTCTCCCCTTCTTCTCCCTCCCCTCTCCACATCCCTCACTCGCTCTCCCTCCCTCCTCCACCGCCACTGCAGCAGGCTGACGTCACCCATGCTGCTGACGTCAGGCATGGCGTCACCATCCGCGTCACGCCCCCCAGCACCGAGGGGCGTTCCCAGGGCGACAGGTGTGGGTGAGGGGGCAGCGGGTGCAGCTGACGTGGCATGATGAGATGCAGGAGAGGGAGGAGAGGGAGGAAAGGGAGCAGGGGGAGAAGGAGGAATGGGAGGAGAATGAGGAGAGGGAGGAGAGGGAGGGAGGGGGGAGGTGGCGGTGGAAAGGTGGAGGAGGAAGAGCTTGAGAATGCAGAGGCGGGTGGCGCTGCTGCTGCTGCTGCTGCTGCTGAAGGCATCAGCCAGGCGCAGAACCAGCGAATTGAATCGTGCCACGTCACTTTCAGACACAGAGGCATGTGGCTGCTGCCCCTGCTCTTCCCACACCCTCTCCCTGTCCGTCTCCCTCCCCCTCTTCCTCTTCCTCCCAGCCCCTGCGTTCCTCCCCGTGTGCTGCCCCAGCGTCCACTGCACAAGGGCAGGCCCAGCAGTCAGAATTCCGTGGCACTGGGTGGCTGAGAGGGCGGGGACAGGGGAGAGAGAGAGTGGGAGACAGTGGGAGAGAGGGGAGTGAGAGCGAGAGAGGGGAGGTAGTGGTAGTGAGACGGGAGAGACGGGAGAGAGTGGAAGAGGAGGGAGTGGGAGAGGGGGGAGGGAGGGTGTGGGAGAGAGGGGAGAGAGTGTGAGAGTCAGGCTCATAATGAGGTGAGAATAGTAGTGAGATGGGCGATAGGGAGAGGGGATCGATGGGCGATAGGGAGAGGGGATTGATGGGCGATAGGGAGAGGGGATTGATGGGCGATAGGGAGAGGGGATTGATGGGCGATAGGGAGAGGGGACTGATGGGCGATGGCGCGTGGCGGGGCACTGCGGGGCACGGCGGGGCACGGTGGATGGGAATAAGGCGAATGAGTATGCGAAGGAGGGCCCGGCGGGGGAAGGAACGAGATGTGCGGAGTGAGGGAGGTGGGGAAGGAGGCGCAAGCAAGGAGGCTGACGAGGTGCGAACGGCCTCTCGCAGCGACGACGGAAGCGGCGCAGCCGCGAGGATTAGCACTCAATGGTCAACAAATACGCGCGTACGAGTCTCAGGGCCTGAACGGCAATGGAATCGATTAGGATTACGCATGTTACAGCTGCTGTGCGCGGTGGTTTCAGCGGCGACCCACCAGGCTGCGGGGAGCGCAAGGCGCGCTCGAGACGCGCCATCCAGTCCGCCGACGACAAGCCCTCGCGACCCGCCATGGCGTGCTTATCAACACCGCTGCAGCTCTCGAGCGGAGCGAACCGCGTTCTTTGCAGCACGTACTATTTCTTCGCGTTCGTGTAACATACGAACGTGGCTTTCGTGTAACATACGAACGTGGCTTTCGTGTAACATACGAACGTGGCGTTCGTGTAACCATACGAACGTGGCGTTCGTTGCGATCTTCACGCGAGAGGGACTACGAAGACGGCACACTTGCCATAGAAATTGTCGTGGCGAAGGACTTCATGTGCAACGCCTGACTCTCATTCTCCCACCGTGTCCGCGTTATGCGTGTGTACGGAATTAAGAATATCGAATATGTGTGGGACTTATCCATAAAATGAAGGGCGTGTAAGGTAAACCATTCACTGGATGGATTGGATCTGCAGGGTGAACAGCGTGGTTGGGGGCGGTTCTTGCTCAGGAGCAATGGTGCCGAGTGGGCCTTTCAAAAAAATCAGCCGAGTGGTGATCCGTCAGAAAGCGCTGGTTGCGGTTCAATGGCCGTCAGATAGCGTTGCGGTTCTTTCCTGCCACTGCCCAGATGTGTCAGCCACTGTCGCGTCGCGAACTATTCGCGCGCGTCGGTGCGCGTCCTTTCCAAAAATGTCGAGAGAATTGCCGCGGCGCGGGCTTTGGTCTCGTGAATTTTTTTCATCGCGCTCAAATTTTTACACAACCCGAAAGACACACGCTCCACCTTCTATCGCGAGCGGTACGCGCTCCCGACATTTTGACTTCAACGTGGTAGTGTACAAGTAAGTGTACGGTCATCTCGGAAATTTTTGGCAGGAACCCAAACGCGAGCGTCCAACAATGTGGGAACCAAACCAGCGTAGTGCTGGGTTGCCAAGCCTACGTGTGGCTTTTCGGCGTTTAGGCTCGACACCGACGGGGCAGGTACCAAAGCCATATCGCGAGCATGGCATAACACTGGACACGTCAGAATTAGCAGAAAAAATACAGCTCAAAATGGAACCAATCGTGGTGTCACACGTTACCATATCGATTGATAACAACTCGAGGTTAAAAAACGAGTGTCGATGTACGCCGACTTCCGTTACTATATATAAGATAAGAATGAATGGATAACACAAAATAGAACTGTAGAAGAATTTACTTCTGGTAAATAATATTGGTATATGTTAATAGCTAGTTTCTTCACAATTCCAATACATGGTTTTTTTGTGAAGTATTTACACAAAGTAATGAAGACAAAACAAAGTATCTTTCCGAATCGCATTCGAGTCGCCCGTCTAGAATACGCCATCGGGTCTTGAGTCTCCCGTTGACCTGTTCAACTATCAAACAATTATTAAATTGGACTATCAAATGTCTAGGGTTTAGACGTATTTTTTGTTACCGAAGATATATATTGGCAATTGTATAAATTTCCTCTAAGGATACCATATGGATATCAAGAAGGTATCTTACAAATATACACTGCATGCATATACATCCTATTGAAGATTTGAATTTACAAAGTAGAAAATTATGCATGAGCTTATATTACCCTTTACATTACTCTTTACATTAGAATATCGTCAAACAATTGCAGTACAAGAGATAAGCATAGCAATTGATAGGTGGGTAATGTTATGGTCTTTCACAAGGCATAAGGGCGTATTCCTATCCTCATATCAAGAATACCTCATATCAACCTCCCACTGAAAATTCCCCTAAACCCAAAACCTCTCGCTAGTTTTACCAGGCAAAAAGTACATTCTTGATATGAGGTTCTCTTGATACGAGGATAGGAATACGCTCTAACAACGCCAATTGGGCATGGCAGAAATACGTAATGCAGACACAACTGACCATACATAATACATTGAGATAACAGTGTCTGTAGCAAGGTTGAATATGCTTGTGATAAGGTTGGCTAAATTTTACAAAGTGTAAAAATGCTGGAAGTGGCATGATTCTTTCCGTTTACTCACTATGATGATCATGCCTCAATGCACCAATACCGTACAAAGAATATATAACTAAAAATAAAGTTTTTTCAAACAAAAGTACAGTGTTAATGTCTTTAACAATAAACAAATTACTGAACATACAAGGTCACAATATGTGCATTTTCCCCCCAAAAACCATGGAGTTGCAGATTTTTGCAATAGAGTGATCAACGGTTTTTTCACAGTATAACAAAATGGAACTGAGTGTTATAATATATGGCTTGTTTATGAACTTATTTTTTTATTAACTCTAGTTGGGTGCTGTTTACTTTGTTAAAAATACTCCCTCCTAATATGTAGTTACAGTCTACTGATGATTTCGTCGTTGTAAAACGATCGCTGTATATAGTATCGAGCACACAAAGAATGCCTTTTTACCACATCAGCACGCACTTGGGCATCTTCACTTCGATAGTATGACGCGGCGCTAAATCATTGGTACGTTCTCAAAGTGTTACGATCAGTTTTTTAACACGGCTTCAAATCTTCCGCGTGGCAAGAGCTGGAAGGAAACGACTGTTTCGAATAGCCCACCTTGTAACAGGCGACCGTCAAACGACTCCCTGCGACCCCCACCCCTAACACATTTTTCGTGGCTTGGGGGACTCCAACATTCTTGGGGATTCTGTTCGTAACAGCTTGTTACGAGCCCAGAATGCTCTGTGCCTGACGGCTACGTGCCACATGGCGCAGCACTATTGTACATGCGATCTGTGCGGTGTGAAAATCAGTACAGTAAATATCATCAAACCAATCGGATTGCGACACGCCAAAGCCCACACGACTGTACTGTCTGATACAGTGATCCGCAGCACTTTGTCGAGCCTGTTCGCGCTCGAACCTGTCCGAACCTGTTATCCACACTTTGAGGGACGAACTGACCAATCGGCTAACACTTCGTGGCAGTTATGTTCGATGTCACCCAGCAAACTGCCCACCAACAATTTGGAACCCTAAAAATAAACCCGTAAAGTGATTAAATGACGCGAAATGGGGGAAGCGCGTGTCGCTCGCGATAGAAGGTGGAGTGTGTGTCTTTCGGGTTGTGGAAAAAATTGAGCGCGATAAGACAAAATTCACTAGACCAAAACCCGCACCGCGGCAGTTCTCTCAAAAATGTCCCACGCCAGAACCTTTTCTCCCAGCATCGCGCTGCCAGTCCCGCCTGCGCCTTCCCCCCAGAATCACATCGGCTCAGCAGCATCACAAACAACTCAAAACAAGACCAACCCCGATTTCACTCGTGCCATCGCACAAGCTCAACTCAACTCGTCCTCACTCGACACAGACCGTTCACGCCACACCACACCACCCGCCGCACTGGTCAACCATTCATTGCCAATTCTGGTTTTCCCTGTTCTTACTGACCAGCCTCCGCTATTTGACACCGTCGATTCCTTTCTCTCGATTTTCACCATCAGCTCGTAACGTCGCCTCAGCACGATCAGCCGTTACGACTTCCGTTCCTCTTGTCACGATGGCGCACTATCGATCAGCACGATCAAGCCTGCCTTCGCTCGTGCAGAAGCTGTTTCTCCTGGTATGCGCGGCGCTCCTGCTCCCGCCGTCTCAAGGTGCGTATTTCTATCGAATTTCGCCGGTAGCGGCACGGTCCGTGCTTTCTGGCGCATTGCTGTCGCACGGTTCTACGTGTCGCACTGTTCTACGTGTCGCACGGTTCTACGTGTCGCACGGTTCTACGTGTCGCGCGGTTCTACGTGTCGCACGGTTCTACGCATCGCTTCACGCACCACGCACCACCCGCTGAAGCCACGGCATAACGTCGCCGGCTCCTCCTTGCTTGTGCCTCCTCGCTGCTACGAAACGCTGACCGTTTCTTGTGACGATTTTGCAGGCAAATGGGTGAGCCACCTGTCGTCGTATCGAGCGTATGAGCGACGCTTGGCATCGGCGGAAGGCCCAACAATCAGGACAGTAAGGCGCGAATCCTCGAGATCTGATACGATCACTCCCGGCAGCTTGACTCTCAAGTCCTTAGAAGGACCGGATGCGCCCAACCGCCCCGCCTCTTCCCCTCTTCTGCGCGGATCCGCGCTGGCCGCCACGGCTTCCGCGGAACTTCCCTCTCGGGAGACTCGAGATGCGACGGAAACGCCGCTGGCCGCCGCGACTGTGGCGGAAGCTCGGGAGGCGCGCGCGGTGTGGGCGGAGAGTGCGCGGAGAGGGGAGGAATGGGGACTAGGGGCGGATGAGGAGGAGAGACGGGCTGGGATGTGACGGGGGAAGGCGAGGGGGTTGAGTGGCCGAGAGGGAGGCTTGGTCGGAGGCGGAGTCAGTGAGTCACTCACTCGACGGTCGAGTAGGTCGGGGCTCTGCTATTACAGCCACATCAGCGGTCGAGCTGTGGGGAATACAGGGGGCATGTATGTGTTTGGCGGAGCTGAACGGGCGGCGTGAAACGGTCGGCGTGGAACGGGCGGCGGTGACAGAAGCAGCGCCATTCTTATGCGCTGCGGATATGCGCTGCGGAAATGCGCTGCAGATATGCGCTGCGGATACGCGCTGTGGCTGCGTTTCGTGCGGCTGGGGTGCCTGGCTCTGTGCATGCGGAACCCTCCAGCTCGCGCCTCCTGTAGAGTGCTGGCGGGGAGATAGGGGAATGGGGTAAGGGGTTATGAAGGGAGAAATGCCGGAGGCAGGGCAGGCAGCGCAGCACAGCCGCAAGACTCTGCAGTATCACGAGTCTTTCTACGGAGACAGTCACGAGTCTTCAGCAGACGCGCCAATGGCATCCCCGCTAAAAGGAACGTTGTCCGCACTTACGTCCCTTGTGTACATGCTGGCAGCCGAAAAAGGGGTATTTTGTAAAAGTAGGGAGCACTGATACAACGGCCTGCAAGATCAGGGAACATCAGGTAGAGCAGGTAGATGAGAGTGTTCCTAGTTGAGAGGAGCAGCGAAAAACAGCGAGCAGCAGGGAGCATCAAAGAGTAGCATAACAGGGAGCAGCAGGGAGCATTAAAGAGTAGCAGGGGGCAGCAGGGAGCAGCAGGGAGCTTGGAAGCGTTCTCACTTGCGGGGAGGGCGCGCCAAGAAATCTCTTCATCTGTAAAAACCTTTGATGTGGTGTCTTGGAGGACAGGACATAGAGCTTCACATAGATCTGGACTGGACTGGCCTCGAGTTTCAAGTCTCACTCATCTGACGTCTCTCTCAGAGGAGCTGTAGGTAACATCCTCCGAATTGTACTTAAAGCCGAAGCCTTTAGCTTTGTACTCGCTCTTGGTTGCTGTTCCTGGGCTGGCCAGTATGCCTGAGAGTCGTTCGACCTGAAAAGCACATCCTCCTTCTCAATCACATCTCACTCCTCACCTTCTCATCTCACCGTTTCACCTAGCACCTTCCTCCCTAGTTGCAAGAGTGTAGAGCATAGCAGTCGCTTGGTTGGTTGGTGTAGTTCAAGTCCTTAACTGAGAAGCCATTCTGGCCCCAGGAGGCCAGTCCACTTTTGAGTCGACAACAAGTCACTGGCTTGATACACTGAGAACTTCAAACATCAGCGATGGCAGCAAAGGAAGCTCAAGTGAGAACCAACTCTGCTCACATATTAGGCGCAGCATCTACCATCTACATAGGAAGCAACTAGCATCTATTCAAGTGCTTCACCAATGTCCCTGCTACAAGGCTGGTAAGGCGCTTTGCTTAGCGCTTTGCAAGCAGGGACAGGAAACCTGGAGCGCGACTAACTACCGTACTAGTAACCATGCTCCATTGAACGGATGCTAAACAACTCAAAGCTAAGCCCAACTCAAGTGCAGCAGCGGGCCTCGCCTCTTGACAGCTTGGTCCATGTGCAGAGCATTTGGCGGGGCGACTGGTGGTTGTGGCATTCACTACGGTATATCCTACACTGCCATTCTCAATGCGGTCAGAGTAACTAGGTACAGCAACGAGCCTCCCCTCTGGACAGTTTGGTCCACATGCAGAGCATCTGGCGCGGCGACTGGTAGTGCGCGGTGAGGTAGTCGTCCATGCAGCCGAACTGGCAGAAGCGCCAGTTGTGGATGTAGTGGATGGTGTTGTTGATGCCGTACTGCACCACCCACATGCCCATGCTCACGTCCTCCATCTTGAATATCTGATGGGAGGGGGGGGGGTGTGGGGGGGGGGGGGGGGGAAGAGGGAGGAGGGGACGAGGAGGGGGAGAGGAGGGGAGGAAGAGGAGATGAGGAGGTGAGCCTGCTGGCCCGCGTGATGATGTACCTTGAGACCCGCTCACCCGCTGACCCGTTGACCCGCTGACCGCTCACCCGCTCACCAGCTGAGACCCGATGAGACCCGCTGAGACCCGCTGAGACCCGCTGAGACCCATTGGCATGACATGCTGACCCGCGGACCCATTGGCATGACATGGTGAGGAATGTGTCGATGCAACCCCCACCACATCCTCTCAATCCACCACACACCGCCATCCAACTCACCCGGAGCATCTTGTACTCTTTCATCCAACACAAACTCCTCACCACCACTCTGCATCCACCCGCACCATCTTGAATTCCTTCATGCGCACGATGAAGCTGGCAATGTCCCGTGCGACGTGATAATGTACCTGGTAGGGTGTGCACCCCAACACAACCTCTCAACCTCCTAAGCCCCAACCCCCGTCACCACTCTGCACCCACCCTTAGCATCTTGTACTCCTTCATGCGCACGATGAAGCTGGCAATGTCCCGCGTGATGATGTAGCCCGGCCCGTTGGCGTACGGTGGGTAGTTGGTCTCCGGCCACTCCTGGTGAGAGGGTGAGGGGATGGGAGCACGGATGGGCGAAGAGGGACAAGCAGGGGGAGGGGATGGGAGCAGGGACGGAAGCAGGGATGAGTTTACTTTGAGTCGACGCCAATGTTGGGTGGGAGGATGTACCCTGGCCCGTTACCCCATTGCCCCGTTGGCCTATGGTGGGTAGTTGCTCTCCGGCCTCTCCTGGTCACGTCTCTCCTTCTCTCCTCACGCCTCTCCTTCTCTCCTCACGCCTCTCCCTCTCTCCTCACGCCTCTCCTTCTCTCCACATACCTCTTCCTCTCTCCTCACACCTCTTCCTCTCTCCTCACACCTCTTCCTCTCTCCTCACACCTCTTCCTCTCTCCTCACACCTCTCCCTCTCTCTCCTCACACCTCTCCCTCTCTCCTCACGCCTCTCCCTCTCTCCTCACACCTCTCCCTCTCTCCTCAAATCTCTTACTCTCTCTCCTCACACCTCTCTCTCTCTCTCCTCACACCTCTCCCTCTCTCCTCACACCTCTCCCTCTCTCCTCACACCTCTTTCTCTCTCCTCACACCTCTTTCTCTCTCCTCACACCTCTCCCTCTCTCCTCACACCTCTCCCTCTCTCTCCTCACACCTCTCCCTCTCTCTCCTCACACCTCTCCCTCTCTCCTCACACCTCTCCCTCTCTCCTCACACCTCTCCCTCTCTCCTCACACCTCTCCCTCTCTCCTCACACCTCTCCCTCTCTCCTCACACCTCTCCCTCTCTCCTCACACCTCTTTCTCTCTCCTCACACCTCTTTCTCTCTCCTCACACCTCTTCCTCTCTCCTCACACCTCTTCCTCTCTCCTCACACCTCTTCCTCTCTCCTCACACCTCTTCCTCTCTCCTCACACCTCTTTCTCTCTCCTCACACCTCTCCCTCTCTCCTCACACCTCTTCCTCTCTCCTCACACCTCTCCCTCTCTCTCCTCACACCTCTCCCTCTCTCTCCTCACACCTCTCCCTCTCTCTCCTCACACCTCTCCCTCTCTCTCCTCACACCTCTCCCTCTCTCTCCTCACACCTCTCCCTCTCTCTCCTCACACCTCTCCCTCTCTCTCCTCACACCTCTCCCTCTCTCCTCACACCTCTCCCTCTCTCCTCACACCTCTCCCTCTCTCCTCACACCTCTCCCTCTCTCCTCACACCTCTTTCTCTCTCCTCACACCTCTTTCTCTCTCCTCACACCTCTTTCTCTCTCCTCACACCTCTTTCTCTCTCCTCACACCTCTTCCTCTCTCCTCACACCTCTTCCTCTCTACTCACACCTCTCCCTCTCTCCTCACACCTCTCCCTCTCTCCTCACACCTCTCCCTCTCTCCTCACACCTCTCCCTCTCTCCTCACAACATCAACTTTGATGTTGCCCATGTACAGCCCCCTGGCGTGGTTCCCCCCCCCCCACCCCCAGCCTTCCCATTCCTCACCTCTTCAGACACGGCCCACTTGCCCTCCCTGATCGGCTTGTGGAACTCGTTAATGTTGCCCGCTCGCGTGGTCCACCTCTCTCCCTCCCCTAACCCCACTTCCTTTTCGCCTCTACGCCGACTCACCTCTTCAGACACGGCCCATTTGCCCTCCCTGAGAGGCTTGTGGAACTCGTTGATGTTGCCCATGCACAGCCCACTCGCATGGTTGATGTTTCTGTTGCAAGCGTGGTTCCCCAGCCCTCCCATCCCTCACCTCTTCCGACACGGCCCATTTGCCTTCACGCAACGGCTTGTGGAACTCGTTGATGTTGCCCATGTACAGCCCGCTGGCATGGTTGGCGAATCGGATCTCGTCAAACACGGCGTCCAGCCGTACAAAGTTGTCGTCGTCCACCTTCATTATGTAGTTGGTCGACACGTTGCGCAGCTGAGAGGGGTGGTGAGGGGTGGCGAGGGGTGGGGAGGGGTGAGAATGGAGACAGAGAGGTGAGTGGGGTGAGGAGGGGAACAGCCACTAGCCACACAAAGTTGTCGTCGTTTACCTTCATTATGTAGTTGGTCGATACGTTGCGCAGCTGTGCAAGTGGGGAGGCGGAGAAGGGGAATGGGGGGTTGGGGCGGAGGTGGCGAGATGTGGGGGGGGGAGAGAAGCGGGGAGAAGAGGATGGGATCTCGTCAAACACGGCGTCCAGCCGCACAAAGCTGCCGTCGTCCACCTTCATTATGTAGTTGACACGTTTCGGAGCTGTCAAGAGAGGGTGTGGTGGACGAGTGGAGGGGTGGAGAAGGGAGGATGAGGAGACGAGGGGATAGGGGGATGTGGAGATAGGGGGATAGGGGGATGGGGGGATGTGAAGATATGGGGATGGGGGGATGGGGGAATGGGGGATGTGATGTACCTCAAAGGAGAGACATGGTCGCCTTGTTGCACTGCTAGGAATGAGTGAGGGAGGGAGAGAGCGAGGGAGGGAGCAAGGAAGGGAGGGTGGGAGGGAGGGAAGGAGGGAGGGAGGGAGGGAGGGAGAGAGGGAGGGAGAAGAGGGGAGACGAGGGGAGAAGAGGGGATAAGAGGGGATAATTGGGGAGAAGAGGGGAGAAGAGGGGAGAAGTGGGTGACGGTTCTGAGGAGAGAAGGGGTGTATCAACCCAGGCAACACTGACCCCACCCCACACGCGCCCATGCAGCAGCACTGACCCCGAACTCGCAGATGGCGATGGTCTTGAGCACCACCAGGTCGTAGCGGTCGACAAACGGCAGCACCACCATGTCGCCGTACAGGGCCGCCTCCTTGTGCACCTCCACGTTCACTTGAATGCTGGGGTGCTGGTGGCACAGGGGTGGATAGTGGGGGGAAGTGCAGGGCACAGGGGTGCATGGTGGTGAGGCAAGGGACGAACGGCGGCACCACCATGTCGCCGCACAGAGCGGCCTCCTTGTGCACCTCCATGTTGACTTGGATGCTGGGGTGCTGCACATTGGGGGGGGTGCTCCACATTGGGGAACAGGTGCATGGTGGTGAGGGAAGGGACGAAGGGCGGCAGCACCATGCCGCCTCCTTGTGCCCCTCCTCCAAGATGCACGGGTGCTGTAATTGGGGAGGATACAGAGGGGGATTCAGGTGCATGGTGGGAATGAGGTGCACGGGCCGCAGCATCTGCAGGCTTGCAAGAGTAGCATGCATTGTGGGCGCAATGAACGAGCATCATGGGCCGCTTCAACCCTCTAGCAGGAGAGACAAGGGCAGAGAAACACGCGGGCCAGGCAGCCACTCACCAGAGCCAGGAAGAATCTTGCCACGACCTCCCCGCTGCGGATCTGCGGGTGCTGCAGCCACGTCTTCCTGACAGCGGTGCGCTCGGCAAAGTGGTTGGTGGCGGAGAGGATGCCGATGAACATGCTCACGTTGGCGTCCCGCCTCACCACAGGCGCCTTGAGCGACTCGCTGGCCTCCAGGTCCGCCGTGCGGAGGGGCGGAGAGAGCGGGAGAGATGTTGCTACGAATGACTTGAGGCGGATGGCGCCGCTGATGGCCACTGCTGTGGCTTCTTCTAGTGGGTTGCCCTGTGGGTGGGGGGAGGCAAAGCAAAACGAGCTTAAGGGATGGGAGGGTGCAAGGGAGCGACGTGGCGACGAGGGACTTGAGGCGGATGGCGCCGCTGATGGCCACTGCTGTGGCCTCTTCTAGCGGGTTGCCCTGCAGTGTGGGAGGGTGTGATGGGGGGATTGAAGGAGGGTGAGAGGGAAGAAGGGTGGGAGGAGGAAGGGTGATGATGAGAGGCAAAATAGGGAGAGCGGGAGCGACGTGGCGACGATGACTTGAGATGGGTGGCGCCACTGATGGCCACTGCTGTCGCCTCCCCTAGCGGGTTGCCCTGCAGGTGGGGGGAGGCAATGCAAAACGAGCTCAAGGGACGGGAAGGTGCAAGGGAGCGATGTTGCGACGGGGGACTTGAGATATGGTGCCGCTGATGGCCACCGCTGTGGCCTCTTCTAGCGGGTTGCCCCGTGGTGCAGGTGGGGGGAGGCAACGGAAGGAAAGGAAGAGTGTGAGGAAGAAATTGAACCCAGCCCAGCTGCCCCTCATGACAAACAAGGTGCCCGTTCCTCACACTCTCACCCGTGTAGCACTGCGCTAATCGGTAATCAAAGGACGGACGCGACTCACAGAGCGGTACTGGAAGAATGCCACGTGTGGTTGCCGTCCACCGACACATTGAAGCCCTCCCGGCCAGCCCGCATGACGAGCACAGCAAACAAGGTGAAGCACACTAATAGGTAATGATAGAGGGATGCCACTCACAGAGCGGTACCACGTGGAAGGAGGCCACGTGGTTACCATCCACCGACACGTGGAAGCCCTCCCAGCCGGCCCTCACGACACAATACGGTGCCCCATTCCTCACACTCTAACCAGCATAGAGCGCCTTACAGCACGCCACTCACGGAGCGGTACTGGAAGGAGGCCACGTGGTTGCCATCGACTGATACGTGGAAGCCCTCCCAGCCAGCCCTCACGACGAGCACAAAGAGACGGTCCTCGTGGAAGGGGAAGGGCCACTCCTCCGTCACCTCCTTGTCCGCCTGCTTCATCACCTGCCAGGGCGTGCAGAGGCATGCATTGGGGTGCAGAGCGGTGGAGTGCGGTGAAAAGGGGTGCACAGGCGTTAGTGGAAAGGCGCTCCCATGTTATCTTCCTGTCCGACTGCTTCATCACAACCACCTGGAGGGCGGGAATAGAGGTACATACGAGTGCAGAGGAGTGCGTAGGGGTGGATTGAGGGAAAATGGGCGCGAGTGCAGGGAGGAGAGAAAAAGGAGAACGTAAGTCCTTTTCTAGCCTTCCCCTGCCAGCACTGCATGGCCTTCCTGACAAAACAGCCCTGAATGCATGCACACACCAGCTGACACCACTCTCACATGCCGGGGCCACCCATACAGCCTCCCTGTGGCATTGAGCTGCTATCACTTGCCTGGCACCGCCTTGCCTATCAGCACAGCTCTCTGTCATGTTGCCTCTTGTGCGACCTGTGCCATCCATGCCTTGCATTGCGTTCCTCCGCCCCCACTGCACCTTGCGTCACACATGCCCCTCTCACCTGCCGCTGCCATCCTGACAGCTTCTCCGTGTGAGTGTCACGTGAGTGCCATCAGCACCTGGCATGGCCGTACTGACAAACCGCCCCCCTGTACAGTGCACTGCGCACATCACACCTGCTGACAGCCCCTGCTGCGCTGCGCCTTGCATCACTCTCGCCTGCCTTGCCTTCTTGCATCACTCGCACCTGCCGCTGCCCTCACCTGTCGCTGCCCTCACCTGTCGCTGCCCTCACCTGTCGCTGCCACCCTGACAGCTTCTCCGTGTCCAGGTGCGTGCCATCCGCGCCATCAGCACCGTCCATGCGCTCCTGGTCCTCCTCTGTGCGCGCCCTCTCCCGCGACCACTTCTCACACCGCCTCTGCCCGTCCACTGTTGTGGGGGAGCAGGCAGAGAGGGGGGCCGAGAGGGGAGTGAAGAGAGGAACAGAGGAGGAGAGGTGCAGTGCAGGGGAGCAGGGCAGGGGAGCAGGGCAGAGCAGAGTGGGAGGGCAGCAGGGGCGAGTGCGGGGAAAGCGAGTGCTTTGACGTTGATGGAGGGGTCGTGGAGCGCTCTGCTTCTCACCCCACTCCCCGAACACTGGCCGCACCTTACTCCTCATGCTGGGCACACCCATCCCCAACACTGAACAACAACAGTCAGCTCACCCCCAACGTTTCACAGCACCCACGCCCAACTCGCACCTCTCCCCCCCTGCCCCCACCTCTCTCCCCCTCCCCCCACCTCTCTCCCCCTTCCCCCACCTCTCTCCCCCTGCCCCCACCTCTCTTCCCCTGCCCCCACCTCTCTTCCCCTGCCCCCACCTCTCTTCCCCTGCCCCCACCCCTCCCCCTTTGCACGCACCTCTCTCTTCGTGGTATGTAGACGCAAACCCCTCGCACCGCACGGACTCGCCCCACTGCCCGCGGTAGCACGTGTTCTGCTCTATCACGCGCACCCCTGCGCTGCTCGCACTGCCTCCAGTGCCGCTGCTCACCCCACTGCCTGCCACAACACTGCTGAGCCCAGTGCTGCTGCTGCTACGGCTGTCGCCCGTTAGGTGCGCGTGCAGGTGGTATATGCGGGTCGCCTCCTCGCCCTTCACCACCACCAGGCCCTGGAAAAAGGGGGTTGTAAAACAGTATAGAGGGGATGGAGAGGGGACGGGGAAGAAAATGCATGGTATAGTGTTAGGCAGGGATGCTGCTGCTGTCGCCTCTCAGGTGTGCGTGCAGGTGGTATATGCGGGTTGCCTCCTCACCCTTCACCACCACCAGGCCCTGGAGCAGAAGAAAGGAAGGGGGCCCGAGAAAAGGGGAGTGATGGGCGGGAGAAGGAGAATGGGGGGTGGGAGAAGGGGGTTGGTGGTGCACGTGCAGGTGGTATATGCGAGGTGCCTCCTCACCCTTCACCACCACCAGGCCCTGGAGCAAGGGAGTTGGGGGATGGAGAAAAGGATTAAGCGGTAGAAGGGGAGTGGGGCGAAGGAGAACCGGAGTGGGGAGAGGGGAGAGGGAAGACGTGGAAGAAAGAGCACGTGCTTCCGCCCCCTTACAGGGGGTGAGAGCAGGCAAGGATAAAGGGAGAAGCCCCCTTACAGGGGGGAAACGGGGGATAGAGGGGACAAAGAGGGGTAGAGGGGGGGAAGAGGGGGGAGAAGGAGGAGAGAGGGGCTATAGAGGGGAGATTGAGTGGGGAGAGGGGGTGACGAGGGGGGTTAGAGGGGAGATGGAAGGGGGAGAGGGGGGAGAACAAGCGGGGATAGAGGGGAGTTAGACGGGCGGATTACAAGAAGGAGAGTGGGGGCATGGACGGGGGACAGCTGGGGGGTGGACAAGGGATACGCACGGGAGAGAGGGGTCATGGACGGGATATAGAGGGGGGATAGAGGGGAGTTAGAGGAGGGATAGAGGGGGGATAGAGGGGGGTTAGAGGAGGGATAGAGGGGAGTTAAGAGGAGGGATAGAGGGGAGTTAAAGGAGGGATACAGGGGGGATTGAAGGGGGTTAGAGGAGGGAGAGAGGGGAGATAGCGGGGGGTTAGAGGAAAAATAGAGAGGAAATAGACAAGGAACAGAAAGGGGAGATGGGTGATGGACGGGGGATAGAGGGGGGATAGAACCCTATCACTGATGCCAAGCCTATCGTATTCCCCAATCCCAACGAGGAAAATGTCACTCCCTCTAGCTTTCTGTCTCCTCTCCACTCACCACCACCACTCCCTCGCACTCACCACAACCACCCCCTCCCACTCACCAATATTTCCAGCATGAACGACAAAGCAGACCCTTCATTGCCGGTCCCCCTCCCCCCTGCCACGACCTCCCCCGCGCCCGTCCCCCCTTGCCCCGGAGCCGCCCCCCCACGCCCCGCGTCCGCAGGCGCGGACGGGACCATGCCCACTACCGTGATCGCGGAACCCACGCGCATCCCACACGGCAGCTTAATATCCCCGCTTTTGAGTTCCTCATCCCCCTCCGTTAGCACTATAGCTCTCTGACACGCCTTGACAGCATCCGCGCCGTCCGCGCGCGGGTCTTTCTTCCCCTCTCGCGCCAGCGTCTCTAATCTCTCCAGCTCCGCGTTCATCTCGCGCAGCGCCATCTGCCCCGCCTGAAGCGCCTCTTCCGCCGATTTCTCCAGCACCGACCGCCGGCTAAACGGCCCCGTCCGCTTCTTCTTCTTAACGGCCGGCAAGTTAACCGGCAGAGGCTTCTGCCGGCTCTCCACCTTCTCCCCCGACACCTCCTCCGGCTGCTTCACCTCCTCCGCGCGCCGCGCGCCCGCGCCCGCTCCGCCAACCCCTCCGCCAACCCCTCCCCCGTCTCCCCCCCCGCCCCCGTCCCTGCCTGCGCCGTCCGCGGAAGCTTCCTGCAGCCCCGCGGCGGCCTTGCGCTGGCGGTCGGAGCCCCAGGTGTTGCGCTTGAAGGTGGCGCGCAGGCGGTCCATGACGAAGCGGCGCTTGCCCGTGTTGGTATCCGCCACCGTCAGCACGTCCATCTGCCGGTCCGCCTCGTGCTTCAGCTTCTCGTCCGACGATTCGGGGCTCCAGGGGCTGGTTTGGGGAGAAGAGGGGCATGGGGAGGCACGGCGCGGTGAGAGGGGGAAGGGAATCGCCCGTCGAAGAGGGTTGGCACGAGTGTGCTGGTGTCCGCGACCGTCAGCACGTCCATCTGCCGGTCCGCCTCGTGCTTCAGCTTCTCGTCTGTTGATTCCGGGCTCCAGCGGCTGCACGGGGGGCGAAGGGTAGGGGGAGCGTGGGGGTTGGGCCCGTCCGCCTCGTGCTTGAGCTCCCCGTCTGATGATTCCGGGCTCCAGGGGCTGGTTGGCGGGGGAGGTGCGGGAGAGGTGGGGGAGAGGTGGGGGAGAGGTGGGGGTTGAGGGGTGAGGGTTCACAAGGAGGCACGGCACGGTGAGGGGTGGGGAGAGAAAGAGCAGACGAATGGGGTTGGGCAGAGTGTGCTGGCTACCGTCAGCACGTCCATCTGCCCGTCCGCCTCGTGCTTGAGCTTCTCATCTGATGATTCCGGACTCCAGGGGGCTGGTCGTCCGTCGACTCCGAATTCCAGCAGACGCCAGGAGTCTGCCGGTTGAGACGAGGGCCAGTTGAGAAGACATTCGGTTGAGAAGACGTTCGGTTGAGAAGACGTTTGGTTGAGAAGACGTTTGGTTGAGAAGACGTTTGGTTGAGAAGACGTTTGGTTGAGAAGACGTTTGGTTGAGAAGACGTTCGGTTGAGAAGACGGTCGATTGAGAAGACGGTCGATTGAGAAGACGGTCGATTGAGAAGACAGCCGGTTAAGAAGGCGGTCGGCAAAGGCGACGATGAGAAGGACACGCAAACGACCGCACCGGAGACCGTTCATTACGCAACAGCCCATCTCTCAATCGCAAACACCGCTTCTAATCGCGCGAGCCACAACGGATGAAACGGGTTTAAGATAAGTGTGCGGATGGCAGCGCACCGCAAGGACTTCTGCTGTACACTGCGGGCTGCTGTCAGAATTGTCGAGCATAGTCGTTTACTTAACAAGGACGAGCGGGGATGAACGTCACACTCATTCAATTGCTTCAGGTGACTCTTAGTGAAGCGGCTACCTCCCCCTCCCCGCTAACCCTATCATCCGCTCACGCGCTCACGCGCTCACCTCTCGAGCAGTCCTTTCGGCGCGACGAAGACCACCAGCATGAAGATACCGGCGGCAACGGCTAGCAGGCGGGCGAGCCGTCGCTGCGTCATCGCGCCGGCAAACATGCCGGCGCCGGGTTTACTCCGCTCGCGGAAGTCGTCGCGGTGGTGATGGTGATGGTGGTGGAACGTCGTCGGCACCGCCGCCTTCCACGCCGTCACTGCTGCTCGCGGTCTTCCTGGCGGCGCTCCCAGCGCCGTACTTCTACTCACCGCCATTTCAGCGGCTCGGAGCTGCTAGATTCGTATCGTATGTGCTCTCCGCTTTTAGAAAAGCAGGATAAAAAATAAATAGCGAAGCTCGAGAAGCTGAGCGGTCGCCAAGACTGGCGTTGAATCGAATCCACGGTGTCGATATAAATAGCGGTAACGGCTCCGTTGACCTGATACGACGTAGCAGGACGTGCAGGAATATTGAAGCGAGGAGGATACAAGACACTGAATAAGCTGCCTGATCGAGTGCGCCAAGATTGTTCTAGCCTAGACTGGTTGAACGTTCCGCAGCGTCACAGGTATCATAATGCTGAATTGTTTGACGTTGTATCATAATGCTGTGATAACACAGAATTCGGAATCAAAAGCCGTTGTGTGTTGGTGGTTGCTTGTGTGAGGGGGTTGATGGAGGCAGAGAGAATTTGTCCAGTTTGTCGCTTGGTGCGGGGAGGAGAACTCGAGGGAGCGTGGGCGACAAGGGAAGGGAAGGAACGACAGGCGAGGCGAGATGACGAAACCACTCCCAGCCGCACACAGCCTCACATGTGTCGCGTGCGCGTTGGTTCTCCGGTCATCGGCACCTTCGCAACAGCTCTCTGGCGAGCCGACGACCCACTCGCGAAGGTGCAACCTGTAGCGAAGTGTCAGCGCCAGTCGCAAAGGTTTGCCAAAAGCTCTGGGATCGAACCGCTCCCGCTTGCGGCGGAGATTCGTGATGGCCCTCATTGCAGCCCGTTGAAAATCCCGCCAAAACTCTGTCAATCTCCGTTTTCACAATGCGCGATAAAGAGAGGTCAATGACTCTCCATCTTCTCACATTACGTGATATCTGTAATAAAAAATATTGAAATCAATAGCACAAATAAAGAAAGTATGGAGATGAATTTCAAGCTGTAGAACTGCCACAAATCCAGAAGCTTCTGTTGGAATTACCAAATATTTTTTTTTTGGACAGGATACGTCTTCTAGGATAAGTAATAAGACATGTGGAATTTTTACTTATCCTGTATCATAGTGAATGTGTTACAACATAAAACGGGACTTAGCAAAAGATTGCCTCAGGGTATTTCGCAGGTAGTGCTGCAGCGGAGCGGAAGTGTTGACCTCAGGTCAGAGTGAATGTAATCCGATGATAAAAGCATGCATACATCGAGATTAGCCATGTTATCTAAGGGGCAGGACGCGTGCTAGGTTGTGGGGAATTCTAAGGCCTCATGTCAACTTTCTAGATTTGGAAAAATGCAAAGTTTTTTCAGGGTAAAATTTTCAAGGCTTCCTGTAGTTTCAGGGCTCACGCAACAATTAATCCTAACGAGTGTTCAAGGTTCTGTTTTTAGCACATCTAATGGCACCCGCCTAGCGTTGTCATACTCGCTACTCTAACTAATCCAGACCAGAGACACCACCACATGACAACACCACTAGACTAAACCAGAGTCCTGACCAGACGCCACCAGGGGATGACCAAAGCGGACCAGAGCTGCTGCTAAACCTCTTAGCCCTCCTCCTCCTCGTCACCATCAGAGCTGCTGCTAAACCCACTGTCGTTGCTGCTGCTGCTGCTGCTGCTGCTGCTGCTGCCATCTTCGGAATCTGCCTCTTGTCCGTCCTCCATCCCTTTCCCCTTCCCCGTAGCACTCACTCGCCTGTGCCTCCGCTTCTCCCTTCTCCTCGTAGGCCTCCTCTTCTTGCTGTTGCGCCACACATCCACCGCCTTCCCATTCCATGTCATACTCAACCAGGCTCAGGCATATCAGGTCACTGAGCCTGGCATCATTGAGACTGGTCCTCTGCCAGGACTTAATCATATTCTGACGGCTAAAACCGTGCTCACACTCGACGCTGCTGAGCTGCAAGACAGCCACCGCTGTCCAGAGGCGGCCGAGGTTGGGGTAGCTCCACTCCCAGTCCCTCGTTCGCAGCATGGCTGCCAGGCCGCGGGCAAATGTGCGCTCGCCGCGGGGACAGCCAGCCAGAACAAGGACAAATGTCCTTAGTTCCTTATTGACAGCACGCTTGTCAACACGTGCCATGCATTACAAGACCAAATCTGGTTATACATAGAACAGAAACTAGGCAGATTATGGACAAGGGACACAAAGTGAAAGGCAATATAGCTATACTTACCCGGTGTAACATCCGGACCCAACTTCCACCTGGTCTCGATACGTCGAACCAGCTGTGAGGGGGAAACAAAGGGAGAAACAGGATTGGTTGGAGTTTGATTGGAAGCGAGAAATTTGGAATTGACTTGATTGGAAAACTAGCCAATCAGAACTCTGCTATACAAATTGTGACAGAATTTACGCGATAGGTTTGAAAACAACCCACGTAAGTTCAAACATCACCCTTGTCCAACCAATCACAGCATACTCACACAACGTGAGTCGACGGAACTTCTGTCGCTGGTTGGAAAAAGAACTAATTAGAAACAGCCAACCTAAATCCAACTCGACTCTTCCTTGTAATTGCGACCAATGCAACAACTCAGGTTTGTGATAAGTTTGCATTGCTATCCTTGCTGTCTATTGTCTAATCCCAACCATTGCCACATGGGCAAAGACCCATGGTGGTGCACCCTTCCTTGCCATGGGGAAGGTGGCTGCACCCTAAAAGGGTCTAGGGAGGGGTCTGAGCCAAGCTAGCTCATTCTCCATTTCCTACTCCCAACTAATCAATTGGGAAATAGGATTGCTTTTCTCTCAACCCATCCTCCACAATTTGTGACTGCATCTCCTAGCACTCTTCGGACACAGTGATTTCTAGGAGCTGCTACTGTCTGTTTGTATCAGGACCTAATGATATATGGGTAAATGCACTTTTTATTAGTAGATCTGTTTTATAGGTTATCAGAGCTATTAGTAGATCCTCGCCTTGTGGGCACATAAGAGGATTTTATGACTTTCTTTTTCTTGGAGAAGTCGTGATTTGCATTGTAATGCACAGCGAGCGGTGTATGGCAGTAAGCTCCAGGCTGAGGCGGACAAGAAGCCGTTTGGATAGGAGGAATTTGCCTCTGCACTCAAGCAAGCCTTCCAGGTCCAGCCCACACAGCTGGAGGTGCGAAGCCACCATGAGAAGCTGCAGTGCGGGAACCGCACAGTGCAGCAGTACGCCGTGGAGTTCGAGGAGATCTGGGTGCTCCAAAAACCGGCGGAACATATGAGCAAAGGCAAAAAGATCCATTTGTTCTTCAGAGGGCTGCCTGAACACCTCAAGAATATGCACATGACAGCTGGGGCTGGATAGGCACGGAAGCCCTACGATCACGTGAAGCGCGTGGTGGGGACCACTGATAAGCATTTCCGTGCTTATGCGAAAACTACTACCCAGCCGCAGCAGACTTCAAGGCCGTCGTCTAGCACTGCGGGGTCTAAGCGGAAGGCAGCAGGGAACGCCTTGGAAGGGCGGGAACCACAAGAGGCCCTTCCAGTAGGGGCAGCAGGCTGACCACAAGGCCAAGAAGGTCAAGACCGGTGGACCAAGCAATGTCCAGAGCTGCTTCAAGTGCGGCAAGCCTGGACACAAGGGTTATGAGTGCCGCCACCGCAAGTCGGTGAAGTACTCTGGCAAGGCTAAGACGGACAACAAGCGCAATGACGGCAGTGGTCCCTCGGGCAGCCAGCGGGATTTTGCAAAGCCCAACTAGGGGGTGGGTACCTAGCGGGCTTAGTAGATCGAGAGGATGAGGCAGTGGTCCTGCGGGATGAGGAGTTGTTGAAACTCGAATGCCTTGTTGATTGCAAAATTGCATGTGTGTATGCATTTTCTTTTAACGAAAGTTCTTTGTTTGCCTCTCGATTTCACCCACAAGAAAGTATCACAGTTGAATCATTACGAGATGGATTCTCAATTCTTTTTTGCGATCACCACAATTTGCCTTGGATAATGGATGTGGTGGGTCGTTGCACCCAAGCGCACCCTCTAACTGTGGTTGGAATCGTAACACTCACTCTTCGAGGTAAATTATTTCGAGCGCTTCAAGGATGGAGGTATTAGCACAGTGAAATAAATGACACCATGTATGGTGGACAGAAGCTTGTACTTTTAGACGTAGCAAGCATGGGATTAAAGGCATATTATTTGCCTCCCACTGATATTACAGCATGTCCTATCCGACCCAAACATCAGCAAAACCTTTTGTTTTCGGGTTGCGTAAATGGGCGCAGTGCCTCGATCCTAGTTGATACGGGTGCAACTGCGTCATTGATCGATGAGAAGTGGATGAGATATTTGAATGTTCTTGTTCAAGGACCATCTTGTTCTATCTGTCTGGGGGATGATAGAGTCATCCCACGCAAAGGACATGCGTTGGTCAACCTGGATATCCCACGATATCAAAAGACCATCAGCGTTTTTGTCTTACCCCTCCTAGCAGGCGTAGACATTGACTTAGGAATGGATTGGCTACGGCCTAATGAGGTGATATTAAATTTCCAAGATAACACACTTTCATTTATAAAGAATGGGACGACGTTTCAATGGCAAGTCCCAAGACGCCAAGCACTGGATGACAAGCCTCAAACATTATCTTTTGGTGTGCGCTTTGCGTCGGCTCTCCAATTCAAAGAGCATGTCAAGGGAGCTGATACACTTTTTGTGGTACAGCTAGACTCTGAACCAACAACGTCACAGATTATTGAGGATTTCCCACCTCAAATGAAGGCGTTGGCAGAGGAATATTCTGAGGTTTTTGTCAAACATTATATGTTTATATGATTGTAGGCTGTAGTGGGTTACACCTTAGGGGGTACACTAGATTAGGGTTTCCTACTTGTATCCAACTTTGTGCTAGTACAGTCATTCCTGTCCGTTCATTCTGACATGGTATCAGAGCAGGTCCTTCACTAGGA